TATAATACACACATACATATATATTACACACATACATATCTAGATATACCTTCACAATTGGTTTGGCGAGTGTTGTTGGGATCGGTGCAGGTGGGGCATGCTGCTGCTGTACGCTCTGTTGGCTTTGCGGTGGTGTTGATGAGCTTCCAAACCCAGCAAATGACTGTGCCTGTGGAGGTTTTTTTTGTGTCCGTGGCGGCACACGTGGACTTGAAAGTACCTCTGGTTGTACATTTGATTCGATCTTTGACACTGAAGGTGTCTGTGTCTCTGTTGCGGCGTCAGCCTGGGTGTCGATCTCCCCTTCCTCGGCCATCCCCGACTCCGACGACTTATCCATACCTTCCTTATCCGTACCTACGCTATCCCCACCTACATCTGCATACACAGCCGGTGGTGGCTCGTTGTCGTCCATAAAGTCTTCGCCATCCGCATTGTCCGCAGCATCTGCCGTAGTGCCCACGCTGTCAAGCGTCTTCTCACCGGTTTGTGCTCCGGTCTCAGTAACTGCACTCCCCTTCGCAGCCGTGTCGGTCGGTAGGCGGGAGTGTGCAGAGGTGTCTGCGCCAAGGCGTGTGGCTGTGTTTGCCTGAGGCTCCGTTTGTGTGCTTGTATGGGCGGGTGGGTGCGTTTCTCCTCCTGTCTTCGCGGTTAAGTCTGAAGAGGTATCCATATTGGTAGCCGTACCGGCGGCATGTTTGACTTTCGGAACGCCAAATGTGGGCATGTCCACGTTGCTGTCCAGTAAACTATCCCGACGTGCCCCAGTCTCTGCACCTGTGTTGGTTTCGGGACTGATTTGGCCCTCTATTGTTGGATTGGCGCCGGCCCCGGTACTGTCCTGTGCAGATGTGGTTGATGGGTCTACAGGTGTCCCCGTAGTAGTTTCCGGTGCATTTCGGTCCTTTTCTGTAGTGCTTGGGGGCACGGGGGCACTCTTGGTTGGCACCTGATCAAAATAGAGGACAGGTGGACGGAAAGAATGAGACAGTTGGCACATACGATCGGTTGCCATGGTAACCGTTTTACAAAACCCCGTGTTATCTCGGCCATACGTGTGCGCGTATATCCTTCGATTATAAATTAGTATGTTTACACACACCCTTTACCTATACACTCGTATACACAATGATTTCTGTCACTAAGGGTGACTCACTTACCACCGGTAGAGCCGGAGTGGGTTTTGTTGGTACCGGTCTTGTTTGTGCAGGTGCAGGTGCAGGTGCAGATACAGGTGCAGATACAGGTACAGTCACTTGTGCAGGTGTAGTTGTTGGTCCAGTCACTTGTGCAGGTGTAGTTGTTTGCCCAGTCGCTTGTGCAGGCGCTTGTTTTGATGCGCCAGCACCAGACTGTACAGCTGCTGGCGTGTTCTTCGGAATGGCCGGTGTTTTGTTCACGGAATTCGATCTATTTATAGACGGGGTGGGTGCGGGTGCGGCTTTGGCCGCGGATTGAGCGGCAGCAATCGTTGCATCTTTCTCTTTGAGTCTTCGAATGAGACCGTTGTACTGTGGATGTGAATGTAGACCCAAATGCAGGAATGAGATGCTCCACAGGGTTCTTGAGGTTCTAAGGTTCTAGGGTTTTAGTACTCAGCTACATACTGCACAGGATTGATTGTGTACATAGACTGTGTACCCGTGTGTATACGGATTTGTAGGTGCACACGCAAACACTACCCACATGCAGACATGGGCGTACTTGTGACCTTGTGAATAGAACCCTGTGTGCCTGTATAACATTGATTATGTAAATACTTGTACGATCATTACTACGTAGACGCCTTTATACCGAACACTTCAATAGTACTAACGTGTATGGGGTATCCGTGGCTGGCAATGGATGTGCAAAACGGTGTTCACAGGCGGATACAATCCGTGAGAAGCGGGGAGGGCGTTACAGGTGTACACACGTACACGTTATCAATACGTTCATAGTGTCCCAGAGCATATGGAGGTGTCTGCAAATCATGTCCACATGTTGCATACCAACGCAAATAAAGCGTCACCCTATAGAGGGGCACTGGCAGTGATCTCACCAACGTACGCTACACATACGTGTGCATGTACAACTATCGAAGAAATGTGCTAGGATATGTATGTCACTCTATAGGCACCAACGTACGCTCTAAACAGTTGTATTTGTATTTTATGAAGAGTCTCATTCTTCGCATATTCTTGCACGTGTACGAGTGCACATGGCAGGTGCTTTCCCACACCTTGTGACACACGAGCATGTACATACAATGCATCACGGAACACATCAAAAGGCATATACTCATACAAAGCAAAACAGAACACATCAATAGGTACACACTCATACAAAGCAAAACAGAACACATCAATAGGTACATACTCATACAAGGCAAAACAGAACACATCAATAGGTACATACTCATAGAAAGAAGCAAAACAGAACCCATTGACTCGACTAGAAGTACACAGGTACACGCATGCATGGAGTGGCTTATACACCAAATTACATGCAATTGCATGCAATTACATGCAATCGCATGCAATTACAAGCAATTACAAGCAACTACATGCACGCAAACCAATAAGTTCGACTTCTTACCTTTTGCACAAAACCAGTCTTCTCCCTCAGCAGCTCGTCAATCTGTACACGGAACCAATGCCAATGGGGTGAGAGTTTCAGGGAGGGTCTTAGGGTTTTAACGTTTTAGCGTTTTAGGGTATTAGGGTCCCCTAAATCCTAAACCAATGCCAAGGTACAATTCATGAGAGCATTTCAACGGAAGAGGATACATAAGACCCGATATGCACACGCACCATAAGAGTGCGTCAACATCCAAACAAGTGGTCCAGGGGCTCTTGAAGACAAGTCTGAAGGTCTGACATCAAACTATGAAGCATGAAACAAGAAAACTGTATAGCATGAATACGAAATCACTGACATAAAACTATGAAGCATGAAACAAGGAAACTGCATAGCATGAATACGAAATCACTGACATAAAACTATGAAGCATGAAACAAGGAGACTGCATACTATGAATACCAAATCATTGACATAAAACTATGAAGCATGAAAAAAGGAGACTGCATAGCATGAATACCAAATCATTGACATAAAACGTAGAAGCATGAAACAAGGAAACTGCATAGCATGAATACGAAATCACTGACATAAAACGTAGAAGCATGAAACAAGGAGACTACATAGCATGAATACCAAATCACTGACATAAAACTATGAAGCATGAAACTCTCCTTGTTTCATGCATAGCATGATTACACCAGGACTGATATTGGAACTCTTGAGATGTTTGCAAACACAGACAACTCCTAGTTCCTAAACCCAATATCGTTTTCTGGGAGCGTTACCCTATTTTGCAACTCGATAATCTGCGATCCACGTTGTTGGACCAACTCTTGCAGTTTTCCGCGAGGGCCGGTATCCGCCTGTAATACAAAAGCATACCATATTAGGTAGTACTCGATTTAGAAAGAGGTAATGGATTATTCTGAGTACAAGTACTGGATCAGTCGGACTTGAATCTAAGATCAGGTACTGAGAATACTGTACATGGCAGCGACTATGGGACCAAATGAAGAGAGAGGTATTGGGGGGAGATTCTATATGTTGTAGCCTGGGTAGATGATAGACTATTTTATATGCAGAGATAACTATAGCCGTTCGCTTGCATGCGGTCTAACCTCAGACCAGATACTGAGAGTACTATACAGTGCAGAGACTATGGGACAAACCGCTTGCATGCGGTCTCGGTGAGTACCTGAATAAGTAACGCATCCCTGTACGAGTGACAGGAAATACTTACACGTTCCTTTGACAAGACCCTAAACGCTACCTTAACAGGACAATATAATACCAAACCATCGAGTCTATACAATATACTACCAAATCACCGAGTCTATATAATATGCTACCAAACCATCGAGTCTATACAATATACTACCAAACCACCGAGTCTATATAATATACTACCAAACCATCGAGTCTATACAATATACTACCAAACCATCGAGTCTATACAATATACTATAAAACCACCGAGTCTATACAATATACTACCAAACCATCGAATCTATACAATGTGCTACCAAACCATCGAGCCTATATAATATACTACCAAACCATCGAGTCTATACAATATACTACCAACCCATCGAGCCTATGGTACCACGCCCACACAAACCTTTGCCACGGCCAGCTGTCGGTTGACATCGGCTAGCTCCTTGTCGATGGCCTCGTTGCGCTTCTTCTCGTCCTCCAGTTGTTTCTTGGTAGTGTTCATCTGCGCGAGTATTTGTTGAGATCGCGTTTCAGCTGAGTTGCTGATGTTGGTCAGCTGGCGTGTAGTAGTATGGGGAGTGGATGAAGGGAAAGGACTGTCTGTCAAAACAATGGGACTAGTACGGTAACCTACTGGCTCTACACTTAACTGTGGAGTTAATAAATGGCCTGTTGAATTTAATACGTCAAGTGTTGGGCTCGTACTATGCGATGGGTAAGTCGCCATTAAAGTATCTGGGGCTATACAAGTACCAGTACCATGGAATTAATAAGTGACCTGTAGAGTTAATGAATAGTACTGTACTTTTACTATGAGTGATTGCCATTAAAGCATCTGGGGCTATACAAGTACCATGGAATTAACGAGTGACCTGTTAAGATAATGAATAGTACTGTACTTTTACTATGAGTGATTGCCATTAAAGCATCTGGGCTATACAAGTACTATGGAATTAACGAGTGACCTGTTAAAATAATGAATAGTACTGTACTTTTACTATGAGTGATTGTCATTAAAGCATCTGGTGCTATACAAGTGCCATGGTATTAAGGAGTGACCTGTAGTAGAGTTAATAAATAGTACTGTATTGTTACTATGAGTGATTTGAGTGAGCGCGTGCCTGTTCAACCAACGTGTTCATTGGTGCAACCTCGCCATACACGTACCTTCGTCAGCAGTCCCTGCCATCAAGTCTCAGCCAATATGAAATGGCTTGCAACAACTGATATGGAATAGCCAATGCTTGCAGTATGCGTGTAAATGATGCTATGCTATGTTTACTCGTTCAGCTGACCGAACACTAGTGTATTCCCAGTCTCAGTAGGCAAACCATCAATATACATGTGTATGAGTATGTATGGGTATAAGATACACTTGCGTCCAATAAAACACGGTACAACACACCTTAGTAAACTGGGTAGAGTGGTGGGCATCACTGGTCTGTTTCTCGGCGACCAGTTTGGCCATCTCTGCATTCACCGTATCAATCTGCAATAAAATCAGTGTACACTCAACTGAGCCAAAAGCAACTTTAGTGTTATATGGAAGTATCAAGCCAGGCCTAGGCACGAATAACGAACACACCGGGAACGCTGGGAATAGGCTTAAGCTGGAAGACACTGGACTCGCGTGCAGTCATATCCACACACACTCACGCGCGCGCACACGCTTATGTACCTACATGTACATACGCACCCATACACAGACATAAACACATCCATGCACAGACAAAAACAGATCCATGCACAGACATAAACACATCCATACACAATCCTAAACACATCCATACACAGACATAAACACATCCATACACAGACATAAACATATCCATACACAAACCTAAACACATCCATACACAGACATATACACATCCATACACAGACATAAACACATCCATACACAAACCTAAACACATCCATACACCATGCAACAGCCACACACCTTGGCCTTGGCCTGTTCATAGTTTGCCTCGGCCGTGCGTTGCGCCGTCTGGGCCTCTGTGACGCGAGTGGTGAGACTGTTGAGTTGTGTTTGCAGTGTTTCTGCCTTGCTCTTGAGCGCATCCTTCTCTTCCGTTACCTCGATCAACTGTGGTGGAAGAGGGTTGGAATCGTAGGAGGTTTAGGGTTTAGAGTTTAGGGTTTTATGGGTTTAGGGGTTAGGGTTTAGGGGTCACTTCTACTTTTATATTTATATATATATATATATATATATATATATATATATATATATATATATATATATAGTTGACACAGGCGAGAACATCGACTATATTTGCGATGCCCACTATAGCCATCAATTGCCAACAAAAGGGAAACCGGATTTAAACCGTGAAATTCAAACTATGAACTGGCTGTCACAAAAACTTCAACCAGGTGTGATCGAAGGCATAGATCCGTTGTTGCTATTTTCGGGTCTGCAACGAAACATGGATTCATCCTGATTTATGTGCAATTGGCTTTAGCTGTTCACCACAACATTGACCCCTGATATACAGGCGAAGCGTAGAATCATAGATCCGTTGTTGCTATTTTTCGAAACATGGATTCATCCTGATTTATGTGCAATTGGCTTTAAGTGTTCACCACAACATTGACCCCTAATTTATAGGCGAAGCGTAGAATGAACGACGCAGCCACCCACCTTTGAGGGATCGAAGTCTTTGTACTTGTCCATGAACTGCTCGAATCGCGTCTTCCACCGATTACATTCGTTGACGGCGCTGATTTTCTCCACATTCAACTGTATGCCAATCATAGAAATTGGAAAAAGAATTTTGGATTACTACTTTTTAACCTTTACATCCTGATTCTATATGACTTTGAAACCAAGTACAACTGGAGCTGAAACACTTTGGGAGTGAGCGATGTAACAATTAGACCTTCTGGGCGACTGACAATGAACATTGTGGGTGAAAGCGTACATATCAATATGCCACCAACAATTTGAGCTTCAAAATATGAGACATACATCACTTTCAAGTAAACACTCAATATTCAGAGGCTACCGTCAGGCACACTTGGTATGGCACGTTCTGATTGGTCTATAAAACAATCTACAATACAAATCGGATTCGGCGATTACTATTGGGAGTGCGTGCACTGAAACGTTATGATTGGTCTATAAAACATTCTACAATATGAAATCGGATTTGGCGGTTACTATTGGGAGTGCGTGCAGTAAAGCGTTCTGATTGGTCTGAAATATAAATTTCTTTTTCCTATCATATTCAGATTCAGAGGCTTTCCTAATTCAGGCACGGAACCACAGGCTACGGCGTGGTATTGAGAACCTTCGTGTTATGTGTTGAAAGAGATGTACACAGACAGTATTAGGCCACTCGACCATACACTTTGCCCTTCCCTAAAGTAAGAACCGGTAGCGCTACAACACATGCATGCTATATTTGTTATGCGTTTGGGTTCTACTTCATATGAGCATCTGCCTCTGATATGCAAGCGAGGGATAGTTCAATAGACACTTACGTTGTTGGCTTTGGTCCTTTCTTCCTCGAGCTGGCCGCTGATTCGCACTGCGCTATCCTCCAGAGTCCTGTACCACAGTGCCGGCAGCATTAGCAAACGTAGCCATACCATTACAGGCAACATACACACGAGACCGTCGCTCATATACCTTTACAGGATGATATAACCAAACATACTCGAGCCAATCCGTACATCCCCAATCAGACACCTCCACACATGCACGTCTTCTCCGACAACGTGCTACATACTACACATACTTGAGCTGGCCACACACGGCAGCGTGTTGTATCTCCATGGTCTCCTTCTCGGCCTTGAGACGCACACAGGTTTCCTTGAGCACATTCATCTCCGCTACCTTTTGCTGCAGTTGCTTGTGTGTCTGCATCGCTGATGTGTAGTCGGCGTGGCGCGATTTTTCGGTGTCCACCAGACCCTTGAGCACATCACACTGATCCTATGGGTCGATGTATATTATGTGTAGGTATGTAGTAGGTAAGTGTCTGTGTTAATGCATGTATATGTAAACAAGTATACAAGTAAGTTGAATGTAGGCATATCCGGTGGTATGTATGTGTATCACATGTGTATATATAAAAGAGCTTTTTCAAAGCAAGGTTTTATATAGATATATAAATACATGAGATATATTTGCAAATGCGTTTGCCTTCATAGCCGATGCGTCTCCGGCAGGATGTGCTTTTTCTGTGTCCATCAACTACTGGGAAGTATCACATGCATTCTAAATTTATACGTCGACGAAAAGGTCTGTGTGGATGAACCACAAATTTTTGCTTTCATGTTCAACTGGACTACACCCCACACACGCACACACACACACACACACACAATATATATGTATGTATATATATATACCAATAAAATGATTTTTTGGAATACCAAAATATACATTCACACTATACATGCACACCCGGCTATAACGCAATGTGCGCCCAAACCCCGCCGAGGCGTACCTGAGCACGCTTCAACTGTTCTTTCACAGAGTTGTGTTCGGAGGTCAGATTCTCATAGCGTATGCTCATCATGTCGGTTTCTCTGCGCACATATCGAACAATCTCTCTGTTCGTAGAAAACCCAGGTTTTATTAGATACGAAAACCAATTTCTTGATAGATCAATTCAGAATACAAAGCTCGATTGGTGTGATTCATGCCCTCTTGCACATGGATCTGTATGACCACAACTTCGCATTACGAAGAGTTATTAGGGTTTTTGGGTTTAGCGTTTAGGAATTCTATCATTTATAGCGCTTCATATCCGGGAAACAAGCCTTAATCCACAAGCGGTCGACAGTATATACTTGAACGTCTACATGCACAAAGGTAGAATTCAATACTACTGTGATACTACTACACACAAAAGTAGAATTCACTCATTTTGACATGTAGTCGATCTATCGCTACTACTGGGTATAAATAGATGCATAAAAGTATGTGCACCCGTTGACATGTAGTTCATATATCACTACTACTGGGCATAAATAGATGCATAAAAGTATGTGCACCCGTTGACATGTAGTCCATATATCACTACTACTGGGTATAAATAGATGCATAAAAGAATGTACACCCATTGACATGTAGTCGATATATCACTATCACTGTGTGTACTCAGAAGACCACACCTTTACGAGTAGACGCATATTAGAGACGCTACAAATAGCACAAGTACACTCACCTCATGCCCTCTAGTGTATTGCTATCCTCCGTTGCAGGCTCGGCCTCTGCACCCAAAGCACCGGTAGCGGACAGGTCAGAATGAGCCCCTTCTAAACATAAACAGGTGCATGTTGAAAAAACAGTTTAAATACAGTTGTATTCTATTGTATATCATGAGAAGAAGGATCAGAATGGGTCCCTTCTAAACATAAACAGGTGCATGTTGGGAAACAGTTTAAATACAATAGTATTATATTATACAACATAGGAAGAAGGATCAGAATGGGTCCCTTCTAAAAATAAACAGGTGCATGTTGAAAATCAGTTTAAATACAATTGTATTATATTATACAACATGAAAAGAAGGATCAGAATGGGTCCCTTCTAAAAATAAACAGGTGCATGTTGAAAAACAGTTTAAATACAATTGTATTATATTATATAACATGAGAGAAAGATCAGAATGGGTCTCGTGCGAGCACAAACTGCTGCACGCGTTCACGATTTGTTTATAAACGATGCAGGATGGATCTCAGGTAGGCTTAAACAGGTGCAACAGTACACTATACGGTATATAATAAACATGGTTAGATATAAAACAAACATGGTTAGAGATGTGTGGTAAACCAAGTGTATCATACGCCCTACAAGGCTACATGTGTACGTCATTGCTCTGTTCTGCATCTGCGATTAGGCTCAAGCAACATCACTACTTGTCGACCTCGACTATGTGCACTCATCACGATCATATATTGACACCAAAATGAACGAAAGGGACTGTGTAATGGCACTATCATCTCTAAGTTTCAACTATCTAGCAGTCCTAAGAGTTTATGATTCATGCCAGTGTCACTGGGTGTTTATACATCAACCTGATATATATAATGAACACCAAGATGAAAAGACTGACATTTGAATTAATAACAGAGATGTCACATCGGACCACATATGTGTATAGGCAGATACACGCAACATACAATAATGTCGTGTACGATCCCACTCTATAAGTATATGCGTATGATATATATATATATATATATATATATATACGATATATACACATATACATATATACATACATACACTCAATTCACTACTGAGTGTATACTAACAATTCGGCATAGCGACCGCCTTAACCTTATTGCACAGCCGTACATGCACACGTATAGGCAGCTATGTATGGCGAGTGTGTAGCACGTTAGCATATGTCAGTGGTATGCGTGGATAAGCGTAATTGGACACTTATGGTGCTTGACATAGCCCGTTGCTGACAAGATCAATACATCGGCTGGATCACTAAGTTTAGTATTCGGCACAGCATAGAGCATCTATAAATAGCACAAAAAGGTTACTGACCTCTGGTTTGACGTGCACGACCCAGAGTCTCGACTTGCTCGTGCAGAAGGGTGTTCTGTCTCTCCAACGCCCCCACTTTACCTTCCATGGACAGTTTCTGCTCCTCCAACTCCTGTGAGTAGAGCAGATGAGTGGTATTGAACT